AACTTCAATACCTCGAAGGCAAACGAATTGTTTTATTTAAATGTGATTGGATGGATGTTGATCACATTGGGAAAGGAGTGAAGATAGATAAACATGGCGTTGTTAGTGTTAATACTAACCGAAAGCTAGCAACAAATGAACCATTTGTACTTGCATCTCAAGTAGAACAAGTTTTTTATGTCAAGGATAATCTTCATCCGAATTGGTCCATTGTCTTGAATGGTCATTCTACTTATTTTACGGGTGGTGCTGTCAGAGAAGAAACTTTTCAACAAGATGCTCAAAATTTCTCATGTACATTTGAGGAAGATGAAGACTTTATAAATTGGAGAAGAAATGATCTCGATGTTATCAGTACTGATGTTACCTTAGCTGATAATATTATTGAAGACATCGAAACTCTAATTTTTATGGTAATAGCCACAAATTTTATATTCGTAGCTGAGAATTCGTAGCTATAAATGCATAATGTTGTAGTGTCTTGAGCACATCCATGACCTCACTCATATTGGTTGTCATCGTCCCATAGAGCCAAGATAAGCTCTGATACCACTGATACAAGGTGGAAGAAAAGCAAGAAAAAAGCAATGGAACAATAAAGTAAAAAGGAAAAACCGTGAAGAAGAAATAATAAAACTAGGGCAAAAAGATAAAAGGGATTTCAATTCATGATCCAAAAAGGAAAGTTCAGTACAATATACAAGAGAAAGAGGATAATCATTCCTATATCTGGTGGGGCTATGTATATAAAAGACAAAAGATAATGTGGGCCAGTGTGTAATTATTGCTAACTATATATCAAACGTAAGGGGGACTAAAGTGTATATCTCAAGACTTAACTTCTATTCTGATAACTAACTAACTTAATGACTAGGTTCTTCTATTTAAGCTCTGCGTACAACTCCTGAAGCCTCTCATTTGTCTACTTCATATCAGTAAAGCTTCCTTAGAAGCTCTGCAAGATTCACCCAGGTATCATATATCCAACCTTTATCTGTTTTTAAATAATTCTCAGTTTGTCCCATTTTATGTGATATGATTTGACTGAATATGGAGTTCGAGAGCAAAAAAGACTTTTGAAGTTTGTGTTTTGAAACATGGCAATAGACATTTGTGTGACTATAAACCAATCTCATTAAGGGTAAAAGATAGGTCATTTTTTCGAAACATAGAAAAGGCATGCGTGCCACATATAATGGGACAGATGAAGTATGATTTAACAATAATTTGAGAAAATTTATATAATCGGCCCAAACTAATTTGAGATTGATATAATTCTCTTCTTTTGATGAAGTAAGTTGTTTCATTAGTAATGCAGTTGATTGATATAATTCTCAGTCTGTAAATAGTATTCTCTCGTCCCAATTTATGTGGTGGCGTTTGATTGGGCATGACGTTTAAGAAAGAAAGACTTTTGAAACTTGTGTTTTAAAACAAACTAGCCTCTGTGCGGCTATAAATTATCTCATTAAGGGTAAAAATGAGAAGTTCGAAGTCAAATTGTTTCTAAATATAGATAAAGTCATTCTTTTTGGGACAAACTACAAAGGAAAATGTGCCACATAAAATGCGACAAAGGGAGTATGTGTAGTTTGGCAAGGGTCAAGAACTTCAATTTTCTCAAATGTGGTATCTGATTATGTTGGTTGGATAAATAAAGTTTCAAACTTTATATAGTTTCAATTAGAGTTGATTACTGTATGCGATTGCAATGATGTTTTATTGCATTTTCTGGTTGATAATATTAACAGCACGCTGGAATATGTTGAATAATGCAGTGGTTCACCAGTCCATGGAGTGTCTGATATGGTTATAGGTGTTTTGGGAGGAGGGAAGCTGGGTCGTATGTTGTGTCAAGCAGCATCCCAAATGGCACTCAAAGTGATCGTCTTGGAGCCGATGGAGAATTGCCCGCAAATGCATTAGCACATGATCATGTGGTAGGAAGCTATGATGATAGTGCAACAGTCGAAGAATTTGAAAAAAGGTTTGATTTTTTGGTCAAATATATGTTTGTTGTTTTGACTGTTCTGCAAGTTAAATTTAAATGTAAAAGTTAGGTGTGGAGTTTTAACAGTTGAGATCGAACATGTTGATGTTGACACACTTGAGAAGCTTGAACGACAAGGAGTGGATTGTCAACCGAAAGCCTCTACTATTCGTATAATCCAGGTTGGTCTTTCTATCCTGTGAATTTGGATGAAAAAAATTCAGTACTTCTTGCTTGCTATGTTTTTAAGTATTCAGTTTCTCATATCTGGTGTTTTCAATCTTTGTTTGGTTCAATCATGGTATTATGTAATAGGAGAAATATCTTCAGAAGGTTCACTTTTCTCGACATGCAATTCCACTTCCTAAAAATTGAGATTGATTCTATTATGAAAAATAATACATGAATTTTAACTGATTTACCTTCTGGTGCAAAACCTATTGGTTATAAATGGATTTTCAAAAGGAAATTTAATCATGATGTACTTTTAGATAAATATAAAGTTTGGTTAGTAGCAACAGAATTTTCTCAAAAATAAAATATAGATTATTTTAATACATTTGCACCAATAACTAGAATTTTTTGTATTAGAGTTTTAATTGCCTTAACTTCATTGTAAGCTTTTTATAGATGTCAAAACAGCTTTTTTAAACGTTGATTTAGAAGAAAATATATATGTAGTTCAACTTGAAAGGTTGTATTATTCTCGGACAAAAAATAAAGTTTTAATCAATTAAATTTCTTTATGACCTTAAACAAGCTGCTAAGCAGTGGTATGAGAAATTTGAACAAATCTTACTGAGAGACAGGTTTTCTTCAGTTGAGGTGGATAAATGTGTTTATACTAAACTGGTAGACAATGATTATGTAGATGTACTCATAATCCCAACAATGAGCATTGGTCTGCATTAGCTAGACTAATAAAATATTTGAGAGGAACCATGAATTATGGTATCCTATATAGTGGGATTTCCTTCTATTTTAGAAGGGTACAGTGATGCAGACTAGATATCTGATTCAGATGAGACAAAATCCACTAGTGGTTATGTATTCACCCTTGGTGGTGGCGCAATATCGTGGAAATCAGCTAAACAGACGATCATTGCTAGATCGACTATGGAATCGAAGTTTATAGCTCTAGATTTAGCTGGTTTTGAGGCTGAGTGACTGAGAAACTTCTTAGTTAAAATCACTTTAATAAATGATGTATTGCCAATTTGCCACCTGTGTCTATGCATTGTGATTGTCAAGTGGCAATAGCTATTGCAAATAATAAATCTTATAATTGTAAAAGTAGACACATGGAATTGAGACATGATGTCATAAAATAGCTGTTGAGAGATGGAATAATTTTCATTGACTATGTGAAGTCAGAGATAAATTTGGCCGACCCTCTGATTAAACCTATGGGAAGAAAATTAATTCTTCAAACCTCAAAAGAGATGAGGTTAAGGTTGACACGTAGTCAATAGAGATGGTAACCCAACATATGTGATTGGAGATCCCATGAAATAGGTTCATATGGGTAACAACAAGTCAATATTGACACTAAAGCACTAAAAGAGAGTGTTTGACTGCTAATAATTGAGAGGCTAAGTTATAACTCTTAATGAATTCATATTCCTTATGGATGGTGTATTTAAAAGCAATATACACTTGATGAATTCACCTATATGAGAGTGGAGTGGGGCAGCTCCTATGAGATTTTGGCCTAGTCTCTAGAGCTCTCATGAATAACCAGGTATGCGCATAACCTATTGGGCGCAAAACCGCATTGGACAACAAAATTGTGAGGGTAAAAATGTGATTGATAAAATCTCTGACTTACAATAAGAATTATTGGTTCATAGAAATGCTATATTTCACCAGTAATACTGTAAGTTAAATTTTATTGGTCTAAGTTTGGTTCATAGTCCAGAAGACACCAAACCTATTACATTTAGACCATGCAAATCCAGCAAATTTTACTCTTCTATCCATTACTTTTATTTGTACAAAAAAATTTAAAATAGTGGGGACTATGGTAGTATTTTCAATATTTTTGTGGACAAGTGGCTATGAATATGTACCATATGGCCTTTTACATGAAGATATCTGGCCAAATGGCTAAGCCATAAACCAGTAGCAATTATCTTTTATGCAATTAAACACTTGGCAATTTAAGAAACTCCTAGCATCTATATAAATAGCCTTCTTGATTCATCCGTAAGGACATAAAAAAAGTGGTCTTTTACTCTTTGCTTTGTTAATCATTGCCTTCTTTTTTAGCTAATCATTACTATAATCCTTATTCCCACTATTGACCAAATCATGATCTCTTGTTATTATTTCTTTCCTCCGATTTATTTCAAAACTTGCCGGTATTATTTGATTTTGCTAATTCTTGTATCCTCTAAATAAATAGAGATGTGCTTGTTTAATCCTGGAGAAATATTTTACATTGCTGAAATAATTTCTTAAGACAGTACCTAGCACGACTCAAGCCAATTCGTGTATCTGCTTACAAATAATATTATTGCAGCATTATTGTTATTATTTTTCGGTGTCATTTCCCTACAGTAGTAAGGCTTTCTTCCTTAAACACTAACCCGTCCAAGACTCACCAATAAGGTAAATCCACCATGTGCTTTTTGGGTTCAAATCAATTGTTTCGAGGCGAAAGGAAGTTACCTTCATCTGGACTTGAGTTATTCCTGTTTTACATGTAATCAGCAGTTTATATTAACTAGCTTCTAGGCACAGGGATGACAATTAATCAATTATCAACCTTCAGTTCTGATACATGCAAGATTAAGATGTTGCACTAATAGCTTCATGATGAACCATTATGTCAGGGGCGGAGCTAGCCCTTTGCACGCGGGTTCGACTGTATCCAGTAGTTTTGGTCCAAACTTTATATTTGTTTTATGAAATTTATTGAATATGTACAAATTATTAATTTAAAATCCAGTAACTTAAAAGAACTAAAATTCTAAACTCATAAATTTCAAATCTTAGCTCTGCCTTTGCATTATGTAGAGGCTGATCCAAGATTTAAACTTGACGGATTCAACACTTAAGCTTCTTGGTATTGAATTCATTGTACTTTTAATATGATGGATTGACATTTATTATTTGTCAAAAGTTTAATTAGTTTTCACTTATAAATCTATGTTCAGCATTAAAAATACCGAGTTCAATGAATTTGTTGCTAAAGAGCTGCATTCGCCACCTATCCCTATGCATCAGGGGCGGAACCACATGGGGTCAAGGGGATTTATATGTACCCGCTTCGTCAAAAAATAACACGGTATATATGTGTATATTTTATCTTTCTCCGAAGATATTCTCTTATAAAATAAATTTTGAACCCGCTTGGTATAATGTAAGTGTTTAGATCATTGGTTAAGAGGTTCAAATTGTTTAAAAGGTGATGATTTCGAAACTAAATAGCAACATAATGCGTATTACTATTCTTTTCTTATTTAGATACAATAATTTAGTGAAAGATAGCCGTTTTATTTCTTTTTCTTAATTAGTTTGCGATTAGATTTTTATTACTGCCTTCTTAGTTAATTAGTTTATGAGCCCGTTTGGCTTAGCTGATTTAAGTAGCTAATAAGTATTAGGTGTTGAAAAGTACTTTTAAGTGCTGAAACTGATTTAAAAAATAAGCAGTTACGTGTTTGGATAAAAGTGCTGAAATTAATAATAAGCAGTTGAAGAATTAGGTATACGAAGAGTTTTGTTTAAAAAGAATTATTTTAGGAATAGAATAGTAAATATTTTGGTCAAACCTAAAGTGCTTATAAGCTGAAATTTGATAAGTTGGGGAAGACCAACTTATGACTTTTGGCTTATTTTTGGCTTATAAGCACTTTTAATTTTATCAAACGCGTAGATAAGCCAAAAAATGTTTATTTGACCAGCTTATAAGCTTAGCCAAACACCCTCTGTGTTGAGCCATTAGAGATCTATTCCATTTACTTTCTTTTTTTCAACTTTCCATCAATAACTTCAATTGCTTTTTGCCAAATAATCTAAGTTTTAATTTAGTTACAAGCAAAGTATCCTGATGTTAGTTACATTTGAGTTTAGTTTAATTCTTGTTTGTGAATTCTGATGCTTTAATTTTAAATATATTTATTCAATTAATGTTTTAATTTGAATTTTTAATTTGATAATCAAAATTTAAAATTTAATAGAGAGATTATATTCTCTAGTACTAGTATCTTCGAAGTTGCCACAATCAAGTTCATCCTCCAAATTGCTATTCTCGTGAAAGAAATTTTGAACCAATTAGAATAACAACCCCATTCCTCTAAAAAAAAAAAAAACAAAGGCAAATAATAGATCTGAATTTCTTAAAGACTTATCCTAAAGAAAAAATATCAATTAGGACTATCATCCAAGTGAGTTTGACAAGACTAAAAGAACATACTTCCGAAAAAGTCCTTACTAACCCCTAAATCATAAATTTCCTCAAAGAGATTAATTTTTAAATATTAATAACAATTTATTCTCTTGAGGTTTTTGTATATTTATTTCTTTACGTATTGAACCTGCTTGATAAAAATTCTAGGTCCGTCACTGCTATGCATCCACCCTTCTCTATTCCCCTGGCATTTCCCTCTTTTTTATTCTTTTTTATTCTTTTTTCTTCTTATTTTAATATTTGGTTGGTGAGGTTTTGAGACTTGGCACTTTGCAACATTAGCTTATATATTTTGTAGAAGCATCAACAGGCATGTCCTGAATAAACAATTACTTGCTGTCTTGGTAAACCTACTTCCTTACGTTATGAAATAGGTTGGAAAATCATCGTAAGAGATCTCGTGTGTCCTTGAATTCTCGATTATATACGAGTAAATGAGTAGTTGAACTGGTTGAAACTATAAAAAGTTGACCGAGTTCATCTGTTGCCAACCTTGTCTGAGAAACCATATCCAGAAGTATACCTGCGATATTTAATTTATATACATGGACAGTGCATTGGCGAAGTTAATTCGGATATAATTAAATAAGAAAAATATTTGACTGGGATACTATAATATTTTTGACAATTTTGATATCTAAAATTTTATGATCAAAATAGATACGAAGAGGAAAAAATTTACTCGCATGTGATGTTTGTACTAAAAATTGAATGCAAAACTTTGTGTCTCGCATAAGCTTTAATAACTTAATTATGGATGAGTGATACGAAGAGCCCGTTTGGGTTAGCGGATTGTAAATAGCTTATAAGCTTGAAGTGCTAAAAAGCTTTTTTAAGTGCTGAAAATGATTTTGAAAATAAGCATTCATATGTTTGGATAGAAGTACTGAAACTGATAATAAGCAGTTGATATGTTTGATTAAAAAGTGCCGATAGGCTATTCTTTTGTTAAAATGACTAAAATACCCTAGAATCTTTTCAAAAAATTGTAAACTAAAAATTTCTTTGTAAAGAAAAGAATTAATAACGAATATGAAATGAAGAGAAAGTCAAGAAATTTATTTTGGGAAAAGTATTTTGTGAATGAGAAAATATTATGAAAGATATGTCACACCTCCTTTTTCACTACACCCCGCAAAGGGCGTAAATGAGTTTTTCCATTTAAAGGACAATCGGAACGGAATTTAATTATTAATTATTCAGAGTCGCCACTTGGGAGATTAATGGTGTCCCAAGTCACCGGTTAAACCCCGAACCAAGGAAAAATATGACTCTGTTACAGTCTGCGAACTAGAAATCCGAGTAAGGAATCCTGTTAATCCGGGAGAAGGTGTTAGGCATTCCCGGATTAACAGAATTCCTTACTCGGATTTTTGGTTCGCAGACTGTAACAAAGTCATATTTTTCCTCGGTTCGGGGTTCAACCGGTGACTTGGGACACCATTAATCTCCCAAGTGGTGACTCTGAATAATTAATAATTAAATTCCGTTCTGATTGTCCTTTAAATGGAAAAACTCCTTTACGCCCTTTGCGGGGTGTAGTGAAAAAGGAGGTGTGACAGCTTTGGCGACTCTGCTGGGGATCGAACCCAGAATCTTTGGTTCAGGGTTTAGAATTCGAGCTTAGATAAATTGTTGTATTTAATTGTATCTGATTTTCCTACATGTTTTTTGCTGAATGTGCTAAATGTTACCGTNCTTGTGCTGTGCATTTATTTGTTCCGAACCTGCATGTTGACCGGTTTCCGAATCTCGAAAATGTTGGAAAATTGAGGAAAGGAAAAAAAAAGAGCCAGAAAGGAGTTAAAACCCCAATGCCCAAACACTGTTGAAACGCTGCCGAAATTTTGAGAAAATAAAAAAGAAAAACGCTTTTTAATAGTCTGTTTTACAAAAAAAAAAAAAGTCTTTTATTTTTTGAAAAATTGTTTGTTGAAAAGGAAAGAAAAAGAGTCTTTATTTTAGTCTAAGAAAAATAGGTTGTTTTGGAAAATGAAAAAAGAGTCGTTGTTTCATCTTGATTTCAAAAAAATATATATAGAAAAGGGGAAAATAGTTCGCCTTGCCATGGAAAATGAAAAAAGGGGTCTTGTTTTAAAATATAGTTCGTTATTCGCCCGAACTACGCCAGTTTGATTCTCACAGGGTGTGAGATACGTAGGCAACCCTCATCGGGTCCAACCTTCCTTTGCAAAAATAGCCAAAAAATGTCAAAATTTTTATTTTTCGTCGTAACAAAGTTGGGTGATGCTGTTTTGTCAAAAATAGCCAAATGTTCCCAAACGGAACGTCGGAAGGCTGACCTTGCATAAATAGTCACCTTTGGTCCTCGAGGCGTTAAAAGGTCGTGTTGCAATACCGGGTCTTTTATCTTAATTTAAAAAAAAATAAGTAAAGAGTTGTAAATAAGTCAAGTAGTGCCATCTTGTCATAAATAGCCAAGTGTCCCTAAAAGGAACGCTAGAAGGCTGACTTTGCAAAACGGCCATCTTGGTCAATTTTTGATGTATGACCGGTTGACTTTCGCAGCCTTAAAATCTTTGTTCCCGAAGTGCTGAAAGGCCGCGTTTGAGAATCGAGTTCTTCATTTTTAAATTTTGAAAATATATAGGTAATTTTGAGTCAAGCTATAGATAGTTTTTTTTGAGTCAAATAAAAGTTTTTCTTTTGCTTAATCGCTTTAATAAATGTGCAAGATGAGCACGATGATAAATGAGCTCTTTTCAATAATGACCAAAATCCCTTTTGAGTTTCAATTATGGTGGAATGATTTAGGCAAAGAAGGGCAAGACGAAGTGAGAAAATATTTGAAAGATCTTCCGTATTTATTAGACATTCAGCCTCGGGGGGATATTATCAGGGCATTGGTCGCCTATTGGGATTCGGCACATAATGTATTTCATTTCTCAGACTTTGAGCTCACCCCGACATTGGAAGAAATAGCGGGGTACATCGGAAGTGATCAAGCTCCGTTGAGGTTCAAATACTTAATTGCTCTCAGGGCCATTACCATACACCGGTTTTTGGATTCCTTGAAAATACCCCGAACGGTTCATCATCCAGATTTTGCAAAGGGTTTCTGCAGTTTCCGCTTCATATATGATAGATATGGCCACGTGGGCGGGTTCAATAATCCAGACTTTAAGCTATGCAGTAGAAGTAACCGATAAAAATGGGAGGAACACAGATGGGTGGCTTTTATGATAGCCTTTTTGGGCCTCATAATATTCCCAAGGAAAGATGGTAATATTGATTTGAAAGTAGCGGGGGTCGTCAGTACCTTGCAAACCATGGGGAAAAGCACTTTAGCACCTATGATCGTGGCTGACATCTTCCGGGCTCTCACTGC